GTTCCTATTCGCTACGCCCTTGTTTATACATCTACAGATCAAATTAGCCTTTTAAGCCCCAGGATCAGACTGGGAGCTGATGTTCAGTGGGTTGTGCCTGGATTTCCTTTCAGAGCCACATTTTCCAGAATACAAGTCTGGCTTCCAGTCCCTGCTCTTAGATACGTGATTTTGCAGGTAGCTACATCAAAATGTAGTTTATTTAAGTAGGCCTAGTTTACCAGATCTCTGTAGCTGTCTTGCCCTTGTCATTTTTTTGTCTCTTCACCAATCCTTTACTTCTAGATCACTTATTTATAAGTAAGTTGAAGAATATCAGTACTGGCACTGGTCCCAGCTGAAACCACTTCTGACCCCTTCCAGAAATACACCCATTCAGTGATTTCTGAATCACAACTACTAATCAAGATCAGTTTAGGGGAATATTTCTGCAGTGCTGGGATTTATTAAAGGTTAGCATCGTAAATATGCCACAAGTCTCCCAAGATAATGAGTTCAGGAGTAACTTCTCTGGCTCTGCCATTTTCATTTTTTGACAAACAGAAAAGGTTGCCTAACTCTACTCTCCCTTAGCAAATAGTCTGAAAACTGCCTGAAACCGTATTTTATTATATTCATTTGATATGAGTACATATTCTTTCCAAAAACAAACCTGAAAAAAAATAATTGAGCATTTCTGCCCTTTCACATTCTTATCAGCCTTTTTACCATCACCATTTAGTGACAGTTTCCAGTACCATTACTATGCCTTCTTTTCCTCTCAATATAGTTAAAAAATCCTCCTTACAGTTGTCATAGATTACTCCAGGTTATCCTGGCTTCCTTTGTCATTTTCTATTCATTATCAACTCCAATTTATATCAATCGTTAATTGTTCCTAACTTTCTGCATTTCCTTTTATATTGCTTTTTTTAAAATTCTAATTCCTACTTTTACCAGTGAACTGTGGTAGGCTTTCAGCCAAAAGCAGCTATTTCTTGATTGGGAGTCGGGACTTTTCAATAAACTCTTCTCATAGAAATCCTATTTCCACTCATATCTTTTCCTATCTACATTTTTCTTTCCCTTTGCCTCTGACATACTTCTCCTCCTGCACCAGTTTTTAACAGTGCCCTGTTGGTATCCCTTATCTCCATATCAAAGTGATCTGAGTCAGTAATCTGTAACAAACCTTCAGAGTCAAGTTATTGCTTCTCTGAACTGTAGTTTGAAAGCACGAAAGAACTGAATTCTCTATCACCTATTTTGCTTCTTGTCAAGCTTTCCATTCTACAGTAGTACTTTAGGCTTTCTCCTATCCTCTTCCTTTATCCTTGTGGAATGTAGCATTGCCTCACCATGGTCACAGTAAAATCATCCTTAAGCCCTCCATTTTCACTTTGCCCATCATGCCAATGCCTGGCAAGTGACTATTATTTCATATCTACACAACATTAGGTCATCAAATGAAAATGCTGTAGGCATGCTAGGAATTACTGCTATTTGCTTTGCCATTCCATTATCTACAAGCACAAGTAAAACTGCCAAAGGTCTAGTTCCTGAAATGCTGTCGCCCAGGGTGCCCAACTCCATGCAGCAGAGAGGACCATGCTGGCAATCTGCCAGCAGCTGAAAGGCTACATCTAATTGTGCATAAAGTTGAGCAGATTGTCTGCTTAGACTAGAGCAAACAAGCTTATCTTTAATGCAGACATATGGCCAGCAAAACCTACAGATCCCAGCATGCAACATTCTGGCCAGCTGGCCATTTGGATCAGAATGAGGCATTACATGATCTGATACTGCGGTGACAGAAGATCAGTATCACAACCCCTCCATGTTCAAAAATCATGAGTCAGGCCACTCAAATTCATGAGTTTGGCTCAGAGAGCTGGAGATTTTAAAGGGGATAAACTGACTGAATTTGCTTTTGAGACAGGGTTCACATTCTCCCACTTTTCTCTACAATCATTTAAAAAAATGTATTTTTTTAATAAGAGCTAAGTCACACAGTCACTTGTCTCTGGGAGCTGAGACACCAAGAAAAAACAGACAGACTCACAGTATGATTGGGGAGGAGCAGCAACATATTCTGAACTCTTAAAGTGCACAGATAACCTGACAGATAGACACACAGACAGAATCTGGAACCTGCAATCACCACAGATATCACTGGTAAAGATAAGGGTGGCAGACAGTTTTGTTAAAAAACTCCAGGTTTTCCAATCTTGCACTAAACACTCTGCTTTTACCATTGTTTCCTTTATTCAACCAGGTTTTAACGTCCTTTCTTCCCACCTCTCAGCTGTCATATAAAATGTTCTCTCTGCCTCCAACTTTCCATTCTGTAAGACACCTCTGCTCTCCTATAATGACACACTATACATTTTATGACAGTTACCCCCTTCACAGCCGTCACAGATGCTCGGTCTACAATTAATAAAGAAAACTATTCCAACAGAGTTGTTACTTTTAAACAGGTTAAAATCAGTCCTTAATCTCACAGTCCTGTTCTTTAGGTCTTTTAAAATGCTAGGGAAAATCTAGCCAACGCAGGCTGGGAGCATCACTCAGATGTCACTCACCCTTGGTCCACTTTTTGTGTATTTGTTGAGGGCAGAGACAATTCTGGCTTCAGTCACAATTCTAGATGCAATAGATTTGGGAATTCCTATTTCTGCTCTGACACTAACCATTCAAGAGAGGATCTAGCCAGGAAAGGCGAGAGGAGCTTCAGGTCAAAATGAGGGGATTTGCCAGAGTTATGAACACATCAGAAAATAGAAAAAACACTGTCTGCTCTGGGTCAGGACCAACATGCACTGGCAGAGTTGAAGGAAGGGGATCAAAGAACCACAGTTTGAGTGCCTTGCAACCAGGAGTAAGTGACTTTGGCAGAGTGATGCTGATAACAGCAGCAGAAAGCCTGGATCTGCCCTTTGTTCTTTTTTTTTTCCCCCCACATTTTCACAAGCAACCAGAACTTTGGGCAACCTGATTACTTGTTAAAGGGGGGCTGTTGATGTTTCTTTAATGTCAGAGCTCCTGTCTGCATGTGATAGAGTGCAATTAGAGAGGTTACATGCCTTGCAGATCCTGTAACCAGTTCCTGTCTTACTTCCTTCGCCTGACAAGCTCATTCCATCAATCCCCAGGTTCAGTCCAGAAAAGAGCCGGACAATACAGACAGAGCTGCACAGGCACCGTGATGAATCTTCTCCTGTTCCATTAAGAAGCACTCAGCTGCACTTGAGCTCAGGTAGTCTTTGAGGGGTAACTTTTTTTGAGGAGACTGAGATCTGCACTAACAGCAACAGCCTCCTCGGAAAGGGGCAAAGGTTCACGCTTACACAGACCCCAGGTTGCCACGGGAAGACAAAGGTGACAGTGGTACAGCTGAGCCCCACTTTCTGTCTGCCACTGGGTAAAATACAGCTACAAGTTAAATTTGATTTAAAGACTGCCACAAAACCACCATCTTCATGTCTAACACAGCATGACCTGCCAGTTGCCTGGTCCCTTGAACTAGATGAGAAACACTGCAGTATGAGATCTGTAATCTTTCAAAGGTGCCATTCTCCATCACAGCTGAAGGTGGCTAAAACCAGCTCTGTGATGCAAGTTAGCCTTCAGGCTCTTAGCCCTTGAAGCTAGTTTTGTAGTGGAAGCATAGAAAGCATCACAGGTTTACATCCTGCTGCAGTGGCTTTGTGGTTTCAGGCCTCACAAAATTAAAAAGTCTCCCTACCACAAACCCTAGAAAAAAAGAGAAAAAAAATGCAAACAGTAGCAATATCTGGACTACCATATGAAACTGCAGCTAAAATTTTCTTAGGAGTTATCTAGGACCTAACCTCCCTTGCAATGCTCCTTTTTGAGTCAAAAGGGCCAACCCAATGAGCCAGTGTATGTAAAAATGCAGTCTCTCCAGACTGCACCTCTGGAAAATGACTGCAGCAAGGACACTCCCAGTGAGTTGAACAAGGGTTTAGATTTTAGCGCTGTTTATGCTTTGAACAGTCAAAAATGTTCAGAATTCGGGCAGGAGCTCACTAGGTTCATTCTCAGTTCTTTTTTGCCAAAGGAAAGATTGGGAGATATATAGCTATAGATACAGATATGACAAAGCCTGTAAAGCTATTTACAGCACTGGCAATTCACTGTCCTTCCAGCCAATTCCATCTGGCACAGGATGCCTACTATCCTACCCTGCTACTCCAGGATAGGAATAAAATAGCAAACCTAAGTTCTGATTGTGTCCCAAGAATCTTTCTAGACAGCAGGATGTGAAAATGCTTGGCCCAATCCAAAAAATGCAGCATATCAGCAAAAAGCAGTTAGAAACAAATAACAAGCCATTCCCATCTCTGTAGAGAAATATCCTGCCAGCGGAATCCTTGGAAGAGGCTTTAAATCTATTTAATAGTTGTCCAGCAGAACAGTAGAGATGTGAACTGAAGATACATTTCAGTATCTTCCTTTCTCCTTCCACAGTGTGTAATCCTGGTAGGGTACAGATTATTCCACGCTACAGCATTTCTAACACAGTTTAGCAAAGGAAAGTTTGAATTCTGCCTCTCAGAGATACCAGCTTAGTGTTAATGAGAGCCCATTTAGATAAAGAAGAGCAATACTGGGTGTGAAATACTTCAAACCACATAAATTCCCTCTGTCACTGGCAGCATTATCTCTCCCTATAGCGACACCAGCTGTCACAGGCTTTACAGAAGTCAGGAGAGAACACAGCACTCAGGCAGAGGGGGTAACTGCTGGTGTGGTCAGAAGACCTGTTGTGAGGATGTCACAGCCTTGGTACATCTTAGCATTGTAAGGGTTTGTAATTGCTTAATAAAGAAATTTAATTACAATAATTAGTAAAGGAAAAAGTTCCTTTACAGATTCACAGGAGCTTCTCCCAAAAATACCAACTTCACAGTAACCCACACTTTGTCCCGCAGCAGTTCCTGGGCTACTCAGACTACTTTCCCTTTCCTTGTATCTCTCGATTCTGTTAACTTTACCTTGTGGGATATCATGCTCCAGAGAGTCTAGAAAGTCAGTGGATGGGTCCAGGAGAGCTTTTTCCAGCAGGGTTTTATTCTTCAGATTAACAGGCTCAGTAAAATGGAAATAGGAACTTAACTTTTTTGCCTCTGTCAAAGAAAGACCTGAAAACAGCCAGTGGTGACCATTAATACAGTAAGCTGGGCTAACATACATTATACCATTGAATCCCATATTGTTTGTTTAACACTCACAGCATAGGACAGAATCACAATCTTTCTTCAATGGACTCCACAGAAGACCAAAGTCTTGCCAGAAATGGGTGGCAGCACTCCCCCATGCTGTGCATTGCAGACCATGCTAACAGCAACAGGCACTGAGTCAAGACCAACTCTCTGTGCCCATTTGGTTACATCCTCTATGTAGATGGAGAAGTCACTGCAGCTGTAACTGCTAAACAGTGACATAAACTATACACAGAAAAATGAAACTACAGGTTTAATGACTCAGAGCTATTACTGACTTTCCTCCCACCTTCCTGAGTTGAATCATGCACCTTAACATTAGTGGCATTGGATTCTCTCCTCCCTGTTAATCTTACCCAAGGGAAAAATAAACCTGAAATCAAAACATCAGCTAGAGAAAGTCATCTTCATTTACAGCCTTTATGATCAAAGTACACTTGATCCTGATAAAGACAATGAGAATTTACCTTCAAAGTTTCTGTTTTCATGCACAGACCCAAGAGGAGTCTTCACAAATGCCCCCCGGGGGATGATACCAACTGCTCTGTCTATCTGTTCTATCGTAGCTACGAGGCGGGTCTCCTCCTTGATCATGAGCTTTAAAGAAAAATAGGCAAATTTTAAAGGCAGGGCTTTCCTTGTTGTCATTTCTGAAAATAAACTTGAAGTGACAATAGAAACCACAACAGACTCATCAGCTTGGAGCCCAATGGCACTAAGAGGAGGACCACAAATCAAACATTCTTCTCATAAGAATGTGGCTAGGAGCCGACAGTCTAGACTCATCAGAGAATTAACTGTCCCTCCCTTCATCCATACTTTCCTTTCTCTCAGTTAAGCTACTTAGGACTTGTCTTTTCAGTGATAAAGAATGGTACCTGTGGTTCCTATGTAAAGCTTCAGACACAGCAGTGAGGATCTGTACCAATTGTGCATAATAAAACATAAAAGAGAAAGAATATTTCTGACCTGTGTCTAACTCCAGGAGTAACTGAAGTAAGAGTTCAATCAAGAAGCCATTGCTACACAATGACAGCAAAGAGGAAATCGTGCGTATTCTGCCTGAGCACAGGCTCAGGCTGCGTATTACAATCAAGGAGGAGGAGCCAACCCAGTGTGAGGGGTACAACTGTAGCAAAGAGAGTTCAAAAGCATTTTGCTGTATTTACCTCCTTACCATCTTCAAACAATCTTTCAGCATCTTCTGCGTTTATCTCAGTGTATTCATACTCAAAAGAAGGATCCCCCTGGAAGCGGCCCTTCAGCTGCTCTGCCTGTGCAACTACCTCCTCAGTCGCTGGTGGCAGGAGGCTCCATTCCACGCAGTTCAAGCTGCCAGCGACAAGCAGGACACAGGCCCGAGCCAGTTGAAGCACAGGGCTTGATGCAGCCTTGCAAGGCCCCTCAGGGCACAGCAAGACTCCCTCCAGGAGAGCGAGGCAGGCCCCCCTCCCGGCTCCCCAGGCCCCTCTCTTCTCCCCTCAGCCCCCAAACCGTCCTCCCGAGGCCGTTTAGGCCTCCCCTGTCCCATCTCCCCAGGGAGGTGCCCGTCCCCTGCACGTAGCGCTGGTGAGGCCCGGCCCGG